TATCAAGTTTTCTTCACTTTTAGCAGTCAGGGTTTCACCATTTTCATCTTCAAGGAGCTGCCACCCTGCATGACACATGGTTGTGTCACCTACATAATGCAGGTTATTGATGAGTCTTCCAATCCTGATGTCACATTCTTCTTCATAGAGTCTAGCTTCTCAAATTATTTGTTAAGCATACAAATTTAATAGATATGGGGGAAAGGATACAACCCTGCTGCACATCATTTTTTATTTTAAAGCTTGCAGAATACTTCAAGGTTCTGTAAGGTTTAAAACCTTGCTCTGTTTGGACAAATTCTGGGTCTTGTATGAGCACAACTAAGTGCTCTGGAATTCTCTTCTCAATGTTAGCCACAATTTCTTAACATCCACAGTCAAATGCTTTTGCATAATCAAGAAAACACAAGTAAATCTCTTTCTGGTATTCTATGCTTTCATCCAAGATCCATCTGACATCAGCAACAATATACCTGTGCCTTTCAGCCAGAGTCTCTTTTGAATCCACCTTGAATTTCTGGAAGTACTTTGTTGATGTATGTTTCCAACCCTTATAAAACAACCTTCAGTAAGATTTACTTCCATGTGAGATTAATGATACTGTCTGATAATTTCTACAGTCAGTTGGATTTCCTCCCATGGGAATGGGAATATGGATCTCTGCCAGTCAGCTATTGAGCTAGCTGTCTTCCATATTTGTTGGCAGAGACTTATGAGCATGTTTAGGATGGTATCTGTTTCCTGATACACTTCAACTGGTATCCCATAAATTCCTAGAATATTACTTTTTTGCCAATGCCTTCAGTGTAGCTTACTGACTATGCAAAGGCATTGGACTGTGTGGATCATAACACATTATGGCTAATACTGAGAATAATAGGAATCCCAGAACACTTAACTCTGCTCATGCAAAACTTATAACACAGAAGAAGCAGTTGTCCAGACAGAATAAGAGAATACTGCATGGTTTAAAATCAGGAAAGGTGTACATCAGGTTGTATCCTTTCTCTTTATTCAATCTGTATGCTGGGAAAATCATTCTGGAAGCTAGGCTTTATGGAGAATATGTCATCAAGATTGGAGGAAGATTCATCAACAATCTCATGCAGATGGTATAGTCTTGCTTGGAGAAAGTGAAGAAGACTTGAAGCACTTACTGCAAAAGATCCAACATGACTGCTTTTAAGAGTTACATGTCAACATCAAGAAAACAATAATCCTAACCAATGGGCCAATTTTTGCTGTTATGTGCTGTTGAGTCATCTGCCACTCATAGCAATCCTATTTATGCTCCTATTTAAGGCTCTGAAGCCTTCCCTATTCTGAGCTAATCTCACTGTCTCCAATATACCTACTCCACTGTTGTTGTTGTTGTTAAATGCCATCGAGTCGCAGGAGACTCACAGCGACCCTATGAAGGGGAGTCCTCAACACTTGTGTGTGTTTCATCCTCTCTCCAGGTTCACAGGGTTTCCAGAGGCAAGCTGTTACGAAGTGGATGCCGCTCCTGCTTCCAAACTTGTTTTAATTGGGGAGTTTCACCCAACACTGTCCACCATGGGTAACCAACCATTAAAACATCAGCGTCATAGTGTTCAACCTCACAGCAACCACAAGTTACCACTGTACGGCAAGTGGACACACCAGGGCTATACAACCTAGAGGAATGTTTGAACAAAAACAATGAAAGACAGGTCCCAGGGCCGACCTACCTCATTACCTTAGTTACTATTATCAATCCATCTCACCCAGGGTCCTTCTCTCCCGCACTTTCCCTTCCACCCTCTGGAGAATGATGTCTTTCTACAAAGACTAGTCCCTCCTGGCAATATGCCCAAAGTATGTGAGACAGAGCTTCAAAATCCTAGCCTTCAAGGAGAAACTTGGTTTCACTCTCCAAAATAGACTTATTTGTTTTCTTGGCAGTTCATAGTATGTTCAGGACTCTTCTCCAGTATCACAATTCAAAGGCAGATTCTTATTCTGTCATCCTTAGTCACTGTCCAGCTTTCTGATGCACAGCAAGTAATTGCTAAGACTATGGCCTGGATAAGGTGCACTTTAGTCTCTAGACTGCACATCGTTGCTTCTCGGTACTCTGGAGAGGTCCCTGATTTTTCCCAGTGCAATTTGTCTTTTGATTTCCTGACTGGTGATGCCAAGAGTGTTCATTGTGGTACCGAGGAAGTTATAATTGTTAACAACCTCAATCTCTTTTCCATCTATGACATTGCTGCCAATTGTTCCAATGGTGAGAGCTTTGTCTTCTTAATACAGAGTTTCAATTCATGTTGAAGACTACAGTCCTTGACCTTCTATAGCAAACACTTTAGGTCCTCCTCAGTTTCAGCAAGCAAGGCTGTATTATCTGCATAATGTAGGTAGTTAATGAGTCTTCCTCCAATCCTGATGACATATTCCTCCTCATAAAGCCCAGCCTCCCAAATGATCTGTTCTGCATATAAATTGAAAATATATGAAAACAGGACATATCCCTGATATACTCTTTTCCTGATTTTGAACCACGCATTGTTTCTTTGCTCTGTTCTGACAACTGCTTCCTGGTGTCAGTATAGATTTCACATGAACCCAATCAAGTTTCTGGGATTTCCATTCTTGTCAAGGTCAGCCACAATGTGTTGTAATCCACACAGTCAAATGTCTTTGGATAGTCAATGAAACAGATAGACATTTCTCTGGTACTCTTTGCTTTGTGCCAAGATCCATCTGACATTGTGATAATGTCTCTAGAACCACGACCTCTTCTAAACCCAGCCTATACTTCTGGCAGTTCTCTGTCGATGTTCTGTTCCAGTACTGGACCAATAGGCAACATCATTATAGATGGAGAAAAGAGTGAAGTTGTAAATTATTTCATTGTACTTGGATCCATAATCACTACCCTTAGTAGTAACAGTTAAGAAATCAAAAGATGTGTGTCATTAGAGAAGTCTGTTGTCAAGGAGTTCTCTATTATTCTAAACAGCAAGTGTGTCCATTGAAAGACTAAAGTGTGCCTGGCATAAGCCATTGTATTTTCAATTGTTTCCTCTGCCATCTGAAATTTGGACAATGAATAAAGATAACTGATGAAAAACTGATGCCTTTGAATCATAGTGCTAGCAAAGAGTACCAAGTTTACTATGTACTACCGAAAGAACCAACAATTATTTCTTGAAGGAAACACAACAACAAGAGTGCTTCTTAGAGATAAGAATGGTGAAATTCCATCTCACTTACTTTGAGCATATTTCCTAAAAGAATCAGTCTTGGAAATTCTGAGAAAAGTAGAGATGTCAGTGAAAGAGAGTAAGACCAATAAAATGAACTGAAGTAGTTATTACCACAATGGGCTTGAGTATGACAGAGATCCTGAGGATGATGATGACAGCACAAGGTTCAGATCTATTGTTGTCAAGAATCAGAGTCAACTTGAGGGGATCTAACAACACATTGCAAGAAAGGAGACTCTATCTTTCTCTCTTTTTCTAAAAGAATCTGGCATTTTAGAGCACCTGTCTTTTAGCTAGCAGCACCTCACCTAAAAGGCCACCAACACTCCCTAAAGATTACACAAGGCCAGGCAAAATTTTGTTTTGTTGTGCATAAGTCACAATGAGTTGGAGTTGACTTCATGGCAGTTTCTATCTATATTAAAGAAACCATATCAAGTGATATAGCGGTCATTTTCAAAACTGTCAGTCCAAAGTCAAGTAACTTAGTTATTTTAAACACTCATTTCCTTACTTGTAAAGTAAGGATTGAAGCATTTGCTACCTCCCAAAGATTCTTTTTTAGAATACAGTGGGGAAAATGAAAGTGAACTAATAAAAACAGTACCAGTTGTTTTTCTTATGTACTGTCAAGTCAGAACTGACTCATAGCTTAGCCTCCAGCAGGTTTTCTGCAGCAGTAAAATGCACAGAAGATTGTTCATCTTTTTCTCATGGAGCAGCTGGTGGATTCAAACTGTGGACCTTTGGGCTGGAAGAGCAACTCTTTACCACTAAGCCACCAGAGGCCCCTTAAACAGTACTTGGCTAATAACAATTCAAGTATTATGGATATTTATTATTTATGCACATTTAACAATTTATATTTAAGAATACTTTCCCCAATATTACTTTCTCTGCACTTAGAGAAAACATTAAGATAAAGAAGGCATAGGTTATTCTAGAAGTGCACAGGAGTTGGCACTTACTGTAGCCTAAGGAGAAGGATTTTGTATTAGATACCTCCCTATTCCAGCTCCTTAAACCCACTGCCCATCTGTTCTTGCACTAAGTTTCCATAGAGCATTAACTATGTCTTGTTAAGAAGACAATTATCCTTAAGGATGGGGGGGGGGAACAAATGAATGACAGTAAATGCACAATGCTAATCTTCACCTTGATCATGCCCAAGAATAAAGTTACGGAACTGAACACATTCGACCTCATCAAGTACAAATTTATAAGATCATAAGAAACTAGAAATAGGCAAATAAAAATGTTACTGAGTCACATAATATCGCCTCTTTTTGCTCACAAAGGGTTCCCGTAAACATCACCAGCTAGGAAGGCGATACCTACGGCATATCTTGATTGGGGAAAGTGCTGCTGCCGCCGCCGCGGGATAAAATGAACTCAGCAGAAAAAGCTGGTGGGGAAAAGAAAGAAGCCTGAAAAGCGCGGGTCAAATAATCGAAGCTGTGTCACACCCAAGACGGCCCTCCGGAAACAGCTTTCCGTCAATGAAGAACCGGTAGAGGGTAGTGGAGAGAACTTACTCCCTGGATAGCATCCAGTCACTGCTGAGTGCAGCACAAGCACTCCCTACCCTAAGGGTCTTCACAACCCTTCTCCTCCCCGAGAGAACAGCAGCAGAGCCATCTCTTTTAGATGGCTGTTCACTTAAGTTTCCTGCCGGACCATTTGAGGATACACTCTGCTTCTTATTTCCGGTACTAGCAAGGTGCAGTTGCCATGGCAATTACAGGACGACCGAAATCAAGGCAGAAGCTGAGAGCGGATCACGAAATCGCTGACAAGAATTGGCTTCGCTTCCGTGTTTGATAGCTGGAATTAGGTAGCAGACGGCTTCCTGGCTCCATCTCTTCACCTCCTCCAGCTCTTCTGTTTTGCTTCTTCGTCTTTGGCTTGTTTGCTTCTTTTACTTCTAACAAATGCTTTATGTTTTTACTAATAATCTACATATAAATGCACGTTTATGCCCAGAGAAAGGCGCAGATATTGTCTGAGATGAGTCATGAACATATTTCACCGCTGAGATGGTGACTGGATGGCTCCCTGTTTTCACTCGGCCCTTTAGAAGCCGCGGGCGCTTGTTAACAGTTTATTTTTCTTGCTATTCTGTGGCAGGTTATTTATGGAGCCGTTTGCGGCAATGAGCTCTCTAGGCCCCTGTCGTGGTCTCGGACTAGAGTTTTAAATGAAGGAGGTTTCCAAGCCCGAGGGGTACAATTTTGTATTTATTTAAGCTTCAGTTTAGTCTTCCGTTGGAGAAGAGTAGAATTCTTGGACGTACCTATCGTGGGATTTCCCTATGAAGGAGTCACCTTATTTTGAAAAGAGCATTCCAGGACGGTCCTTAAAAAAAAAAAAAAATCCCACACCTTACATTTTCAATTTCTTGCTGTAAAGTGAGCACTCATTTTCTCTCTCTTAATGGAATAGTTTTTCTTTCACGTTTGTTGGATATGTACACGCATATGTGCTTAAAACACTGATGCTTAATTACATTGATACCAATTTGCAGTAACCAGACTGTGATACCACATCCCTATGGGGTTCTTCTAAATCTTGTGTAATATGAAAGTGTCAAGCAGGCGGTCTGTGTATTATAAATAGGGTACTTCATCCATGATAAGCGATTATTATCTTTCTTTCCCAAGTGTAACAGACCTATATAATTCAAGAAGGTGCAAGTGATTTAGGCCTCCTGAGTAAGAATCCAATGAGTCCTGAAGGAGACCCTACCTGTGTCGTCTTATTGTTGAACTTGAAATATTCAATTTATTAGACTGGAATATATTTTTAGAAGTCAGAGCTGGGTAAAGTAATATTGGAAGCTCTTAAAGCACTTGCACAATTTAGTGCCCCATAGTAAGCATTGTCCAAGAAGTCTTCATCAGTTTAATAAAAAAGTGAGCTGTTACTGGAATTTATTGCCTTTACCACTTACTGCCTAGGTATCAGGTAGCACCTACCTTACTAGGTCGGTGGTAAGTATCTCTGTCCAACAATTACCTCATCTGTAATAGAGACAAAAAAGAAAATATGACCATATAGTTGTGATGAAACAAGATGCTTAACATTTAATAAATCAGATGAGAGGTACTGTGTATATTTCACCTATTATTATTGTAACAGAAGCTCCAGTGGCTTAGTGGTGACACTGCCAACCCAAAGGTACATGGTTCAAATCCAGCAACTACTCTTTGAGAGAAAGATGGACAGGCCTTTTATGTGATTTACTGCCTCAGAAAAGCTGCTGGAAGGTCAGGTAGAAGTTGGTTCTGAGTCAATGATACGCAGCAGCAACAATAAATAGTCAATCTCTTATTATAATAGTATTATCATTTGTAATATGAGGGTGCATTATTAAGATACTGATGGAATCGATTGATCCTGCTATGGAGGAAAGGATGTCAACTGCTCAGTCTTACTATGTTAATAACTCATTATTGTAGATACCCGTTTAATTCTATCTGCAGATTCTTAATTGCTAATTAAAAGGTTGAATATTCAAGCCCACCAGATGTTCCATGAGTAAAAGATATGGCAGACTGTTTCTATAACCATTTGTAGCCTTAGAAAAACCTATGGAATAATTGTACTCTGCCCTATTGGATTGCTGAGAGTCAGAATCAACTCATTGGCAATGAGGTTTTTTGACTGCATGGTTAATTATTTAATCTTAAAATCACTCAAGGAAGAGTCTCATCTTACTATTTTGAAAGAATAACCCAAACCCAGAGCAAATCTACTACTGTTGAGTAAATTTCCACTTATATTGACCCTGCCTCAGATTTTTAGGACTGTAAATATTTTTTTTTAATTTTGTTATTTTGTTTGTGTGTGTGTACCGTCAAATCGTATCTGACTGGTACAGGAGGAGATGGCCCCTCCTTCTCTGGCAGAGCATCTGGCGGATTTGAATCGCATATCTCTGGGATTGCAGTGCAGCTTCTTGCCACTAGGCCACCAGAGCTCCCCTAGGACTGTAAATCTTAATGGGAGTTGATGGTCTTTCTCTCTCAAAGAGTGTCTGTGGAATTCAAGCCATTCGCCTTTTAGTTAGTACACTAACACATAACACACAAAGCTACCAAAGCTCCTTGGAGAGAATAGGTGTGTGGTTTTTTTTGGTTTTTTTTTTTTATTGTTCTGTAATTCTTCCATAGAATTACATCTTTGTATTTTTTTTGTTATTATCATATGCATTTATATGTTCAAGTTAGCACTAGATTACTGGAAATCTACTCACAAGAGTGTATGCTAGTTGAAGATGTAATATTTCCTCATATTATAATGTTCTTTACATTTCCAAATTCTTTTTTTTATTATTAAATTTTATTAGTTTTAATGAACAATTACAGAGATTTTGGGTTTTCATTCATTCATTGTTGCACTGTTTTCTCCACCCTTCTCCCCAGTTCATTCTTCTTTACCCCCCCACAATGTCTGTTTTAATTGTCCTATTGCCACGGTGCCCGCCAAAGCCAGTTCTGATTAATCTCCTTTGTCAGTGTGTCCCTTGCCATTCCCTATCACTCCTCCCTGAGAGAGACTTCACCCTGATTCATAAGGAAAAGGGGATGGCGTATTCTCTTAGCTACTTCCTGCTGAAAAGGGACGCTGTGGGTTTCAGGGTGAAGATCTTCTCTCACTACTCTAAAGGGCCCCCTTGGCAGTAAGAAACACATAGACTATTATGGAGATTGATTTTGGAATTTAGATGCACTGTTATCAATTGTGCTTAGCCGTACATGTTCATATCCTTGAAGATGTATCATGGAAGTGTTGCAGCCTAGAAGATACAAATTTAACTAACAAGTTAAAAGTGCATGAGTCAAAAATTGAAAAGCAATAATATTCTGAGTAGAGGTTCTAATAGTGGCACAAATCAAGTTACAGAGGTAAGGTGGTTCCATTGCCATCCTTATTCTAACTTAATTCTTTTTTTTAAATTTAAATGTTATTAATTTCAGTGAAAATTTACAGAGGCTTTGGATTTCCATTCATTCATTGTTGTAGATTTGTCCCCTCCCAAGGTTCCCCCCCACCAGGCATTACCCTCTTGGAAAAGTAAAAGAAAAGATTCATTATTTTACAAACCCTCCCCCAGGTCCACTCCACCATGTAGCCATCGCTCTAGACTCCTGTCATGACAGAAATACCTAATCACATATCTCTTTTAAACAGTTTTCTCCCTTCTCTGTTTCAGAGCAGCATACATTATTGAACCCATCTTACTCAGTCTCTCCCCAGCCCCAAGGACAGTCCCATTCTACAACAGTGGCACCATGCAATATTTGTCCCTTTGTGACTGGGACATTTCACTCAGCATAATGTTCTCCAGAGTCAACCATTTTGAGTAATATTGCATGAGTTCCTTGTTTTTTAATGCCGCATAGTATTCCATTGTCCGAATATACCACAGCTTCTCTAGCCATTCGTTTGTTGATGGGCAATTAGGTTGTTTCCAACTCCTTGCTATTGTGAACAAAGCTGCAATAAACATGGGTGTGCATATATCTGCTTGGGTGTCAGTACATTTCCAAATTCTGATATCTTGATTTTTCCTCATTTGAAAGGGAAAGTGACGTTTACACTTTGAGAGACTAACATAACTAAAACAAGTTGGGGTTTTGGTTTCTTTTTCTTTGCTACAGAATGGCCAGCAGCCCAGGAAGTGAAGCAGCTGTCTCTAATCAGAAATCTACGCTTTCAGAGAGTTCCCGAACAAAGAAATGTCCATTAACCGAAGAGGAGATGTTTTATATGACTTGTAGAGCTGCCTACCTAAGTGTTTTCAAAAGCAGCTTAGAAAACATTATTTCAAAAGAGCAACTTTATTTAGGTACTCTCTTATTTTATATGTTTTCCTTGTTTGTTGAAAGTTAATAGATCAGATAACCTGAATCACGATTACATTGCTAAATCATCACAATTTCTTAGTAAAGCTGAGCAATGCAACTATATTAACCTACTTACTCTTCTTCATAGGACCGCTATGAGTCACCTGCGACTCGACGGCACTTAACAACAACAACAGTCATTTTAGATAATTACATATTGTAAAAGACTAAAAATAAACCTTTCATCATTTATATAGACTTAAATAAAACCAACAAAATCAAACTTACTGCCTTCAAGTTGGAACTAACTCATAGCTGACCCTCCTACAGGTTTTCAAAGACTGTCAAATCACAGGAGAAATTACATGTCTTGTTCCCATTAAGCCACTAGTGGATTCAAACTATAAAGAGGCACCCCCTATGGGTTAACAGTGCAACTCCCTACGGACTAGGCCACCAGAGCTCTTACACAGACTGTTATGTACTGTGGAGTTGGAACCAACCCATAGCTGACTCTTAAGCAGGTTTGCAAAGGCAGTAAATTGAACTGGAAGAGATTGCCCATCTTTCTCTCACGACGCAGTGGCAGATTCGAACCATGTACCTTTGTGTGGTTTAGGTTTGCTTTCTTTTTAATGCTTCAGTAAAAAGAACATAGACAACTTGGGAATGATGAATCTAATCTCTGTTAACTTCACTAAGGGGACTAGTCCCTATCAGCAACACCCACAGTACAAAACCAATTCTTATAATGTCAGCCATAGTCTCTACGCTTTCACACTTAGTTCAATTAATCCAACACTAATTATACTGCTCCACTACTGGGTCTAAAATCTGTTGCAGTAACTAAACAAACTTCAGAACCACATTCAAGGTGATGGGCTATATTGGGGATGTTAACACGTTACAACCCAGGTTGATAGCCAGAATACAATTCCCCAGTCAGGATAGCTTCCCATAAGTGCTCACAGGTCCTCTGACCTTCAGCCTTGAGGCTTTAGGCCAATATTACAAAGCTCCAAGTCCTGCCAGTCCTCCAGCAACCTTGAACAAAGACCCTAGATTCTGGCTCCATGAGGCAGGAATGTTAAGTGTTAAGTCATCTCGGTTTCTGGCTCTCTGCTGAGGCTGCTGCTAGTCTCCTGTGGGTTCATGTGTGACTGATGCAGGACTCTCTATGTCTGAAGGAACTGCCCTACATTCTTTGCTTCTCTTTCCTTGCTGGAGATTCCAATGTTCTGCTGCTAAAGCTACTTAATTTAAATCTAGTGGGATGATAAAGCTAACCAAACTCATGAATCATTTACCCACCTAGTTTCCATGTTTCCATCAAGCCATGTGGTGGAAATAGAAGTCAGTGATCCCTTTTCTACATCACAGCTTCCATTAGTGATTTACTTCTAGTAATATTCTATTCCTTCTTTGTTATTTGAAGTTTATAAGAGTAAAAGTAAAATTCTTTTCATTTCCAAATCACTAATCTGAAGTTTACCTATCTTTGAGAATGTTGTAAATGATACATTAAAAAAATGAGTCAAGAAAAGTAATAGGAGATAAGTGAATTTTGAAACTAAGAGTTGATGTTTGTTGTTGTTTTGCCTCTTCTCTCCATTATCATATCTAAAAATTCCTTTGCTTTCAGAGTCCCTCAAACCTTGACCCAGTGCTCGGGTGGTTAATATCAATACCAGTTGCTCATGTCAGTTTCATCAAGGTTAATAATTGTGTAAGTAGAAAAACTTTGTCAACTTTAGAATCAGTTTCCTTAAAACTCTGCTGTATTTTTGTAACAATTACTTGAGCTTATATTCAGTATGAAGATCTCTACTTGAAGAAAGTAATTTTGGGAAATATATGAAGAGAAAAAGACTAAAATGTATTTGATGCTTGATAAAAGCCATTTATAAAATAGCTTAAGTGCCAATGTACATAATTACTTAAAGTGATCCTAAGGTTTATTTTTACTTTAATTTACTTAATTTAAAATTAATAAAATACTCTAAGTTTTTAATTATTAATGTTTAATGTAAAATCATATGGACAGTCCATTAATTACTTCTGAATAATTTGCCATTACTTTTGAATTATTTTTATTTTAAAGATAGGCTGAGGTCACTAACAGTTTTAAAATTTCACATGCTATGGCATTTAGTTCGTAAATCAATCAGTGTGTATTACTATGGTGAGATCAGTCAAATAGAATGTTCCAAGAGGATAATGCAGTGTTTATCTCTTCAGTGTTATAAACACTTGATTTTTATGATTGAATACTCTGTAACATTGTAATGATTTATTTCAGAACACCTAAATTAAAAAAGAAAGTTCAGAGGCTGTAAATCACACAGGAGGAGATTGCCCATCTTTCTCCTATGGAGCAAATAGTAGACTTGAACCATATAGCTTTGGGTTGGCAGCATAACTCTTGATATGAAGAATTGAGACATCTCTTTCTTACTATTATTTTTTTTTGTCTATATCCTTCTGCCATGTAAGTGCATAATAATGCATATTTTGATGTTTCATTTCAAGGCTTGATAATGTAGCACTGTTACCAGTGCTTGAATGTTGCGTTTTTCCAAATTATAAATAGTACATGTAGTATAGCTGCCCATCAAGGTCTATAATAAACTGACAAAGATCAATTGTTTTTGTTAGTCTTAAACATCTGTAGTTACATAATCTTTTTTTTTTCTGTCAGCAGAGTACTTAATAATTGACTCTAAGGTACTATTGCTGTTATAGTTGTTATGTGCCTTAGAGTCTCCTGCAACTCATAAGGAAACTATGTACAATAGCTCCGAAACTTGCCCTATCCTAAGCCAGTCTCATTGGCTCAGACACACCTACCCACATTGCGCAAGTTACTGTATCAATCCATCTCATCTGGAGTCTTTCTCTCCTGCACTGTCCCTCCACTCTTTCAAGCATGATGTCATTCTATAAGGATCAGTCTCTCCTGCACACATGCCCAAAGTATGTGAGACAGTGCTTTAAAATCCTAGCCTCCAAGGAGAAACATGGTTTCACCCTCTCTAGAACAGACCTGTTTGTTTTGTTGGCAGAATATGGTATGGTCAGGACTTTTGCCAGCTCCATAACTCAGAGGCATCAAGTCTTCTGTTATCCTTAGTGATTGTCTAGCTCTCATGCAGAGCAAGTAATTGTGAAGACCATGAACTGGATCAAGTAACTTTAGTCTCTAGACTTCTCAGTACTCTGGAGAGGTCCCTAACAGCACATTTACCTAATGCAATTCATCTTTTGATATCCTGGCTGCTCGTGCCATAAGTACTGACTATGGAGCCAAACAAGTAATAACTGTTAACAAACTTAGTCTCTTCTCCCTCCATCCTGGTGTTGCCAATTGGCCCACTGGTGAGAATCTTTGTTTTCTTGATGTTGAGCTTCAATTCATATTGAAGACTACAGTTCTTGACCTGCTGTAGCAAGCACTTCAGGTCCTCCTCATTTTCAGCAAGCACAGTTGTGTCATCTGCAGAACGTGGGTTGTTGAAGAATCTGCTCCAATCCTTGTTCCTCCTCATAAAGCCCAGCCTCCCAAATGATCTGTTCTGCATATAGATTGATTGAAAAGGTATGGCGACAGGATGCATCCCTGACATACTTCTTTCATGATATTGAACTGTGTAATGTTTCCTTACACTGTTCTGAGGACTGCTTTCTGGTCTAAATAATTACTAGAAAGTACCAGTTTCTTAAATATTGAAATGTTTGTTTACATAATATATGTTTTGTCATGACTCATTTTATTCTGAGAACAAACGTAATAAAAGTAAAACTCTAATAATGCATCTTTTAAATAATTATCTTCTGTGTTACTGAAAATAAGAGACTTTCATTTAGGTCCAATTTCTGTTCCCATCTATTAGTGGCCAAGGATTGCTGGGCATGGAATCCTAAACCACATATTTCTTTTCTCTGATTCTCTTAAGAATTTAATTATGGAAAATGCTTGCTAATATTTCATTGCCAATTCAGAACCTTTGTCTACATCTAAACTAAACCTATGGAAATGAAAAAAATTCTGCTAATTCCACTGCTATAGAGTCCCACAGAGACTTTCAAAGTGAATGGAAGATGGTAATTATTACAACAACTTCTGTCATTTAGCTCTCATGGCCTAGTGGTAAGGAGTTGTGCTGCCATACCCAAACTATTTGGTTTGAATCCACCAGCTGCTTCATGGGAAATAGATGAGCAATCTCTTCTGTGTGATTTGCGGCCTCTGGAAACCCGCTGGAAGATCATCTATGTGTTGATTCTTTCCATAGTGCATAACAACAACTGCTTCTGTTAACTCTGAAAGTCACCTCTAAGATTACCTTTTTGTTCTTCTGTATCAAAATTTAAGCTGAAAGGGAGCTCTGGTGGCCCAGTGGCAAGAAGCTGCACTGCAATCCCTACATCAGGCAGTTCAAGGCCACCAGCTGCTCCGCATGAGGAGGATTGATGAGGATCAGCTATGGGTTGGTTCCGACCCGATGGTAAACAACAACAACAATGGTTAAACTCTAAGGGAGCTCTGATGGCTTAGTGGTAAGGAGTTGCGGTGCCAATCCAAGAGGATACAGTTCAAATCCACTGCCTTTGAACCCCTCTGAAGGGTCAGCTATGAGTCATTCTGACTCAGTGGTATGCAGCAAGAACAAAGTAAAGTTGAAAGGTGCTCTGGTAGCAAATTGGGATAACTAGGATCCTATGTCTCTAGCAGTTCTTCTAATCCACCAGCAGCCCCAAAGGACATTAGCAATCTCTTCCTGTTATGATTTACAGTTTTTTTAATTCTGGTGGAGGGTTACTGTAAATTAGAACCAACAAGAAGCAGCATAATCTGAAGGATAATAGAATACCTTTTGGTAATTTCAAGGCTTCTCACCTGTTTTAGCCAAAGCTCATGACCACAGGGAGAAATTTTGCATTTCACATGTGAACTTCGTTTTTAAATTCCAAAACTTTTTAGGAACCAGGACATTAGTATTTCTCAAAGTATATCAGCTTTTGATTTTTTAAAACATTATTTTTTTGGTTTGCATACAAAGTTCATTTACATTATGTGTCATACAATCATTCCCATTCATTGTTTTATAAAATTAATCACTGTTGAACTATGACTACCATTACCCTGTCTTTCCGGATTCCGGCTAGATTGTTCTTCTATCCTTTACCCCTCTTCCTCCACCCACCAAATTGTGTGACTCTGTAATTTCCGCCCTGCACATCCACTCTTGCTCTCATTCTGTTTGAATCTCCATATATGTTTTGCTAGTTATCCTTATGTTTTTACAGTAATGGTCTTATGTAGTATTTATCCTTATGATACTGAGTTAGTTCACTCAGCATAATGTCCTCCCTTGATTTTTCGCAGAAACTTAATTGTAAATGGATACTTTTTTATGCATATACTTAATGTCTAGAAAATCTTTAGTATTCTTTAAAGCCTACTACATAACAATGAAAAGTTAACATTAATCTTGTTATTGCCTTGTTTGAATCTTTAACATATTTGTTCATGTAGATAAAGTAAGAGTTAACACATTCATCTTCAGAATTATTAGGTGACTCATTAAAAACAAAAGGACACCAAAGACTCAGAGAAGAAAGTAGTCTGTAGAACTAATAACCTATACAAATTATGACTTCTTCTACCCTGTAAGAACTAGAATGTTCCCAGCTTCTTCTACATAACCATTCTTATGAGGGCCACAAAGATGAGTCCTGAGCGAAAGGGGAAATGATGTAAAACAGTTCAAATTCTTAAAATGTGCAATTTTACTGGACAGCTGTTTAAGACAGAATTCTCATGACTATAGCTCTGAAATACTCTTTAAACTTTAAACCAAAATTATTCCCTTGAGTAATCTTTTAGACAAAAAAATAGAATATCTCTTGTGAGTAATAAACTTATAAAAATGTTTTGAAAAATAGACAAAAAACTTTGAAAACATAAAATAATTTCTAAGAGACAAAAGATAAAAAAAATAAAGAAAAATTAAAAGGTAAGGCAGGGTAATGTACTGAAAAAGATACAACCAGAACAAGCGAAATGAGAGTAAGGAATTATGGAAAATGTAATAGGTATCACTGAATATGTATAAATTGTTAAAAGAAAACTCAGCTGTCCAATTTTCATCTGAAATGCAGTATTATTTAGAATAATAAAAACTGAGTGAGGGTTTTTAATTTGTTTTCCCTCTCAACAGCTTATAATAAGTAAAATCAGCTGTCAGTTAATGACAATTTGTGTAAACTGAAAACAGAACCTTATGAATATTTTTAAAAGTCTATTTAATTTTATTATTGTTGTTACTGTGTGCTGTTGAGTCTGAATCTACTCATTACTATGTACCCTTAAAGAAGTAGAATGTGTCCAGGTTCCTCTAACCAACCATTCTGACCAGGGCCATAATAGATGAGTCCTGATTGAAGGGAAAATGAAATTCTTAAAATTAAAATAGCCAGTGATACAGTTGTTATTGTGTATTTTTTTTTTGTTTTTGTTTTCGTTTTTATTATTATTATTATTGAGCCTGAACCTACTCATCACTTTGTCTTTGACATTTGTAAATCACACAGGAGAAGAATGCCTGTCTTTGTCATGTGGGACAGCTGCTGATTCAAACAAACTGCTTGCCTTTGGGTTTGCAGCAATGTTAGTAAATCAGAATCTTTAGCTGGTGAAAAATAATTATTTTTTTTTAAGTTGGAAACTAATTGTAATCACCAACAGTAAAGTATTAAATACATGTACATTTCTTTATTATTTAAATAAAAAAGTGCTTTTAAATAATAGTTCCAGATATTATTATAACAAATAACACTTGTTTATTGATCAGCTCTTCAGCATGCAGGAAGAAACCCATCTCAAAAAATCATTAATAAGTATTGGACTCCTCAAACTGCAAAACTGAATTTTGATGATTTTTGTATAATTTTAAGGAAGGAAAAACCTACTTCAAAAGCAGAACTACTAAAATCATTTAAGGAATTAGATGTAAATGATGATGGCTATATTTTACATACTGACCTGTATAAAATTCTAACAAAGGTAAGATATGGGAAACCATTTTGTACTATTCATATTTTGCAAAACAACGTGGGATCTAGGTGTGATGACTATTTTCAAAGTCCATGTTGAAAGATAATTATTTCATTCGCAGGTGAAATGAATCGCATAGATTTTTTTTTTAAGTACTTAAGGTTCTTTTGGATAAAAGGTGTTTTATAAAGGAAAACCCCAAGTATAAAACTAGGCCTGTGTTGCAATTCCCTTGTGCTCAGATGCAGTTATTCCTTGTTTACAATTCTCTGTGAAAGGTTCATACGGAATAAGTAAAGAGAAAGTATAAATGAAATTAGAAAACCTTTCTATTTCTTTGTATAGTATTGGTATAATAGTTATTAATGGACATACAGCATTCAGTTCTTGAAATTTAATACATTGAATTTCAGCACACTATCAGAAAATGCAATAAAATTTGTGAATTTTATATAAGAATCTTGTTCTTGCTTGGCATAATACACATTCTGAAATATATAATAAAACTGTGTATTCAAATTTTTAGAAAATATTAAAATATGTTTACATTATCCTCAGGAATATCAGAGTAGTAATCATATTGATTTAAAATGTCTGAACTTTGTTTTTCAGAGAGGAGAAAAGATGACTCAAGAAGAAGTAAATGCCATAATAAATTTGGCTGATGTAAATGCTGATGGCAAGTTTGATTATATCAAGGTATATAAACTCATCTTGATGTCAATTTGCATACTATATAGGAAAAATATTTTTAAAGGGACACATCTTTTTAGTATTGGCAACAACATACTTTGATATTATGCACTAATTTACAGGCTCAGAACTGTGATTTGATGAAAGTATGTTAAATACAGTATAACAAAACACATAAACACTCTTCATAAATGTACTTTTTCTGGCATGAAAGCATCATAAAAATTATTTAGAACAACTGCAACTCTACACATGTCTTGTAAAAAAGTAATAAATCACTTCACCTTGTGTAACATTTTATTTTTACTCACAATGTGACCTCCTCATTGAATCATGGCTGCATTTCACCAGGTCACTTGAGGGTGGTCAATCTGATTCAAGAAACTAAAATGAGTAACTCAGCTCAATGGGAAATATATTCCATCTATCAGTCTATCCCTTGCCTGCTAATGTGCATTTGTCTTCTCTTCCTCCCAAATGTGTGATTGAATGTTTTACCCACTGGACTACTATTTTTCCTTACTATAGTTTTGTAAATTATATATGACAACCATTGAACAGTGTCTCAAGACTACACTAGAAAAGCTGGAGGTTGACAGTAAACTGAGGCGTCAGCAGTTTGGAAGCCACATTGAGGTCTCCCCTGAAAGGGACCCATGTCCAGTACCAAAACCGTCACCTAGAATCTTGAGACAAACTCACCAGGAAACATTTTCAAATAAAGGTATTTACTTTTTAACACCAAGAATTTCTTGATTAAGAATGGGGATCATATGTAGCGTAATTTTCCCTGCCTTCTTAAGCTTATCAAGATATAACAAATGAGAATCTTTTTGTTACCTACCATTTGTAGACTCTCTTAACTGTAAAAATATGTAAAGTAAAATTTTATTACAGTATTTAACTTGGTTATATGCATTATTTTTCTTTAAAATGGAAATTTCAGACTAAATATAGCATGCTAAATTAAGGAATGTTAGTAGTAGTAGCCTATAGGTTGGAAACACTTAAAGCCTGATAAATAGAAAACTTAATTTCTTTCTCTTGGAAGAACAAGAACAAAATTAGTTAATAGACCTTTCATATTATACTGTGTTTAGTAACAAATTTCCTATTTACAACCTTTTACAATGTGAAAGTTACTATTGTTTGTTACAGGTGACACCAGGAATTCTTTACTCTCAACAGCTAGAAAGTTCAAAACTTCTCTTTCCTTCACAATGACCATGGGTGTTAATAACCAAAACTCAACGTTAACTGAGCCGAATTCACTAAAGGTATAGTATTTTAAAATGAAATTAATAGATGTGACCTTTTCTGAAAAATAAATATTAATATTGATTATTAATACCTAATCATTATTACCAAGAACCAATAGTGTGAAGTAATTCCTTGAAATTTTTCTGTGGGTTGTAGTATATATATATTTGTAAGCCAGTAGTAATACTTTTAAATAAAAACAATACATAGCAATATTATAATAAGATTTAAAGTTTGAAAATTATGGCTCAAAATTCTGAGTTTGATGAATAAATTATCTATTTAAATACTTGGACCAATAAATTTGTTTAATGAAACTTTCTATATAGGTATTTCTTATAAATAAATCATTTGTTCAATATCAACTCCTATGAGAGAAAGACAAGAAAGTCACTTTGCTAAGTCAATATTTGTAGAGTGTTAATATTGATCTTCTTCCTTTGTTTTCCCTTTCTAGACTCAACCTTTACTAGTTTTCTTTCAACAGAAAATAATAGCTACAGAAATATAAAACATTAACTGGAAACTGCTAGGATACATTAAAAATGTGCACCTAGAGACCCCTGTAAAAGGGGGAAAAATGGTTATGACCACATACTGTAACTGCTGTTAGAAAACTGAACTGATTGTCCTCAAGAGCTACATTTTTGTTTCAAATAACAACTCTGTATTTGTTATTGAACTCTGAAGTCCCTTATATCTTTAAATTGCTAGACAGTGACATTTGTTCTATATTAAAATTTTAAAACATTATCTCTAAGGAATTTTGTGCAGACTGTTTAGGAATCTATATGCCCGAAGCAATTTGGTGAGCATGTCCAGACATGTTCATACACAATATTTAGTGTTACAAAATATTATTTTCCACCGATGGAAACTTTGTGTGTTTTGCAACTAAATTAAATACTAGTAAAAGTTACTTAGTAAATAATTATCATTCTTGTGACTCTAAAGGGAGAAGAACCATCATTTTAAGTAGTATAAAAAAGAGGTATAAATTGATATTATTTTTGTTGTGTACCACCAAGTTGTAACTGATTCATAGACGATCCTCTAAGAGATTTTTCAGAAGCTGTAAATTACTTGAGAAAAGGTTGTCCATCTTTCTCTTATGGAGCAGCTTCTTGATTCAAATCACGTATCTTTGGTTTGGAAGCAGTACAACTCCTTACACACTAGGCTAGCAGAGCTCCAACATAAATCTTAGTATGGATTATGTTAAATTATCATAACACCTAGTCTCTGTGTCATAGTCTTTTAATTGAACCCCTACCAATATAATACCTTTAATTCAATTGCATTCAACAAAATACGTTTTAATCAAGTAGTGTTTTCCAGCTGTTTTGCTTATTTTTAAGTAAGAAACTTGAATTAAATAAAATTTATCATTAGATTTTTAGTGATAGGGTTATAGCATTATTATTTAAATTGTTCAACAAATATAAATGATGACTGTATGCCAGGCACTGTTCTAGGTGGTGATAAAGAGCTTTATATCTAGAGTATTTTTCAAAGATTTAAATCAGATAACATATTTAAGACACCATAATGTGAAGTACATAGAATTATATTTGTTAGGTTCTGTCAAGTACTATTTGTAGTGATAAATTATAGTGTTAATATTATTACAGGCCAAATAATTACTACAAATCTTCTACAAGAATGACATAGTCAAAGTATAGTTTAAGAGACTATAGTAAATAGATAAAATTCTACTGTTGTATGCTGTGTAAGACAAGTTTATCAACATTCAGAGTTTATCTGGGAAACAAATCGAGCTATTGAGATATAAAATGGTGAGCGTTTGGTCTAGGATAGTACCTGAACTTAGCAAGAAAAGACAGAATCTAATAGACAATGTCAAAATTGGTCTCATACTAATTGTATAATAAGAGACTGATAATTTAATGATTAAAAGCAGGCGACACTTTGTCTATTTTTGCAATTATGTGATGTTCACAAAATATGATGTCTTTTGGAAATAAATGATAGCCTACAATCTCTTTTCTGAATTTATGCATTATGTCTATTTAACTTCTTATCGTGTTTTGATTGAAAGTTTACAAAACAAATTGTTTTCCCATTCAATCATTCATACACATTTTGTTGTATGATGTTAATTATGGTTCCACCTTTGTAACATCCCTCTTTGCAGTTCTTCCTGTGATTCTTTTCATACATCTTTCTGTTCTATTCCTTCCTATTCTCTGAGCATTCAACAAAATTTAACTCAGCACCATGGAATTCATTCTGACTAAAAGTAACCCTCTATATAAGAGAATGAAATGTTGCCTATCTGTGCCATCTTCAAAATCTCTTCTGTGTTTCAGACCATTATTGTTAACAGTCTCTGTGCAGTCTAGATCATCGATGGTCTTTCTCCTTTCTCTGACTCTAATTTTCCAAGCATAATATCCTTTTCCAGGATTTTAATTACAAGAGGGAAAGAGGAGACAACATATGTATTACCTTCTTTTTTTAAAAAAAAAAAGTTCATTAAAACTAATAAAATTTAATAATAATTTAAAAAATTTAAAAAAAGAGAAAACCCTACATACAAAACTATAACGAATATACCTTTGTGAAATAGAAAGCTATTCTTCTGCCTAAAATCTTTCAGTATTACTTCATCAACTGAGATAATTTTTTTACTAAGATAAATACCAACAGTAAGATGAAAGATGTTAATATATACCTTATGCAAGGAATAAATAGTTTTAATATAAAGGCTGTTTTAAAAGTGGAGAACAATATAAGAAGCATCTACTGCCTAAACACCATGCCTCTGGAAAGTCTATGAGCTTTGATAAATGACAACAGTTATAGAAAGGCTTCAGGCCTTTTGTTCATAAGGTCACTATGAGTCATGCTCAACTCGACAGCAATCAATAGCAACAAGGATTAATAAACATTTGAGGGGGGAAAGTTCTGCAATATACAAGTTACTGAAAAAGAAAATAACATATCCCTCTCTTAGTACCGTCCAGTCAGAACCGGGTCATAGCTGACCCTCCACTGTGTTTCTTTTTTTAATATATAAACATATGTATTACCTTCTATAGTTTGCTTAGTTTGTGTGTGTATGTATGTATGTGTACAGTTCACATCCACTAGCTGCCAGCTGCTTCACAAAAGAAAAATATGTAGTCTCCTTCTGTGCAATTTACTGCCTCTGAAACCCCACTAGAAGGTCAACCATGGATCAGTTCTGACTCAAAGGTAAACAACAGCAACAAGTGTATACATGTATGTTGTTGTTATGTGCCATCGAGTTACTTGCAACTCATAGTGACCCTATGTACAAGAGCCCTAAACACTGTTCTATCCTGTGAAAACATATATATACTCTATGTATACACATGTATGTTACATAGCATGTGTATGTATATATACAATATAAAGATTTAAAATAAAAATGGTTAACAGTATGGAATTTTAATTTTTATGAATGCTTCAAATAGGAATTTTGTTACAAACATTTCTCACATTAAAATACTAGTTCATTAAGTCTGGCAATTAAATTTTACCTCTATAAATCATCTATTTAGCCTTTTGTATGATTTATAATTTTATCATGAAAGTTGGGTAATTTTCACTCTACCTTCTAGCCTTAGCAGCATTCAGGAAAGCAAATAACTTTCTAGACATAATGTATCTTTATTTTTTTTTTAAAATTACCTTAGTGTTGTTGATAAGCTCCTCTTCTGACTAATCTATGGCAAACCCATGGCCCAAATCTATTGCTTTGGAACTGATTTTGACTCATGGCAACCCTGCATTGGGTTTCAAGCCTTTGTAATCTTTAAGGGATGAGGCTGCCTATCTTTGTCCTATTGTGTGGCTGGTGGAACCAAACTGCTGCCTTTCAGTTAGCATTTAGCCAATGCAAAAAGTTCTGTGCAACCAGGGCTCTATACTGTACATATGCTACTTAACATTCCATTTCACCTTAAAGTTTGACAGCCATATAGACTTATAAATTATTAAAACAAATTGCTATAGTCTACTGCAATGTAACTATTAGTACATTTTAAGAGTTTGGTATATCATTTTATATTTAATTAATCTTTTTGTAAGTTTTGCTTTTCATTGATTCCTTATATTTGTGAGTGAAAATAAATAACATTTAAAAATAACAGACAAATAAATTAATAGTTCTGCCTGGGCTTATATGAATTTATCTGAAGTGGTAGAATATAGCACCACCTCATGCCTTACATAAGTATTACAAGCTAGTATATTTAATGTTGGTTTTATATTGTCAAAAAAATTATACATGGAATTACTTACTCTGTCATTCTAAAAATTTTTTCTATATCTTCACCTTTATTTCATTTTGCTTATAACGCTTAAATTATCATCTTAATCTATAGTTCTTTCAAATTGCTTTATTAGAATGAAGCAGCCAAATTATCAATACTTTTTCCTTTCTTTTGTAACATTTTGGTCCATTTAGGTCTCTAGATCCTCATACAGGTCCTAGAGAAAAAGCTTTATGTGTTTTCAAATCTGTTTATTTTAAAAGAAATTGTAGTTTTAATGAATATTATGTGTTTGATAACTAGCTGATCTTAAGAAATTAAGTATTTTTTTGAACAGTACAGCTATATAATCTCCTAATATTTTATGTTAAAAATAATCTAATTAGCACTTTGACATTTTACTAACATAAGTAATGTCTTTTCTCTTGCTTCTATTTAATAATACTGCTTTGTCAATTTCAAGTCTTATTAATGTACATACCGTATTGTGGTATGCAGTTAAGCCTTCTTTCAAAAGAAACTTATAAATTCCCTTCTACCTGAAGACTTATTTTCTGTAACAAAAGCTTATAGAAGTTGTAGAACCACAAATAGTGTTCATTAATAGTGTATCATGCAAAGCCTTTACTTGAACCAGGAAGCAGTCCTCAGAACAGATCAAGGAAACACTGCATGGTTCAAAATCTGGAAAGGAGTGAGTAAGGGATGTGCCTGTCTCTTTACCTTTACAGTCTTTATGCAGAACAGATCATTCG